CTACACACACCTACACACACACACCTACACACACCCACCTACACACACCCACCTACACACACCTACACATACCTACACACACCTACACACACACACCTACACACACCTACACACACCTACACACACCTACACACACCTACACACACCTACACACACACACCTACACACACCTACACCTACGCACCTACACCTACACACCTACACCTACACACCTACACCTACACACACACCTACACACACCTACACCTACACACCTACACCTACACACCTACACCTACACACCTACACCTACACACCTACACCTACACACACACACCTACACACACCTACACACACACCTACACACACCTACACACACACACCTACACACACACACACACCTACACACACCTACACACACCTACACACACCTACACACACCTACACACACCTACACACACACCTACACACACACCTATACACACACCTATATATATATATATATACACACAAATAGATACAAATAGCAGGATTCCCCATATTTTCTGGGTTTTTGTCTCCCCCCCCACTTCCCACATTTTCCCATATTTCCCTGGATAATCGAGGAGTAGTTGTGTCCGTGTGTTTCTCTTTCCCTCCCGAAACATGCTGGCCAGACCCATGGCGCGCGGGCTCGCGACGGTGACGTGCTACTTTAGCACGGGCAGCAGGGCCAGCAGCGAGCGCCGAGGTCGCCATGGACCTGCCCCTGATCGAGGCGGTCTCCGCCCACCGGGCGCTGCACGGACGGTCTGGTCTGCCGGCAATCGCGCCGGGTACGGAGGAGTTGCTCGGCATGCTGCCTGAGGAGCCGGCGAGCAGCTTCAGGAAGCAGGGGGGGTCGGAGGCCAGCTCTGTGTCGGGCGTCGAGGAGGACTACAAGATGTGTCAGGCGGTGCCTTCGGAGCCCGAGTACCACGGGGCTATCAAGACCAACGTGATGTGCACCGAGGAGCTGGCGAACTTCCCAACCTGGCGTCGGAAGTTCGTCCAGGTGATGATCGAGCATTTCGGGGCCACTGGCGTCGAGCACTACCAGAACGAGGGCTTCGAGTCGGTTCGTGCGGAAGACGAGGAGATGCTTGGAACCAAGCCTGGGAATGGCGCCCCCAAAGGGGGCAAGAAGAAGCGTGAGGCAGCTGTCGCGAGCCGGGTGTGAGCAGTCGGCAGTGGCGAGAAGGCTGTCTGTACAGGTGCCTCTTGCGCTTAAGAGATTGGGAGCTTTGTGGTACGTGCAGCCTGCTTTCCACGGGCGTCGGACGTCCGTGCGGGACCCGCGGGAAAACCAGATAAGCAGAGGCTGACGCCGAGGCCATCGATCAGCACCTTCCCTCTCTCCCCCCCCTCCCCCTCCCCCCCCTCCCACAATTACTCGATATGAATACTACTGTCCTCTCTCCCCTGGTGGCGTCTGGGGAATGTCCGGCCCCCCTCCGCGTACTGGTTTCTTACAGACAGGATTCCCCGGAGTTGGACTTTCGCTGGGTTCTCTTTTTCAAAATGCTGCTCTCGCTGAAGCGCTGGCAACATTTTCGGGCTGTTCCGAATCATGCTTCCGCTGCAACGCTGGTCTCGTTTCCGCGCTTCCGCTCGTTCCGAATCGTGCTCCCACTGCAGCGCTGGCGTCATTATTTCCAGCGCCATGCCACGGTCGGTCCTTCTAAATACGCCCCAAAAGCCCCGCGTCCTCGATTTCTGCGCAATAACACACACATATGTATATATATATATATATATATATATAATTCGATAAATCTGCTCTCGCTGAAACGCTGCCCTCATTTTCGGGCTACCGCTCATTCCGAACTGTGCTCCCGCTACAGCGCTGGCCTCATTTCCGCGTTTCCGCTCGTTCCGAATCGTGCTCCCGCTGAAGCGCTGTACTTTTGATTTCCAGTGTCATGTCCTGGCATGGTTTTCGGTCTTTCCAAAAAGGCCCCCAAATCTAGAAAAATATCCTCCCGAAGAAACCATCGGACGTGATTGCACACTCGGTGCCGATTTGTTGATTTTTCGGCCACAGAAGCCCCTCCCCACCTTGGGGCGTCGCCACGCCATGCTATGTCGTGCTACGCGTTAATATTCGACACCATGCTATGCCATTTAATGCTATTCCATGCTGCGACATTCGATTGTACGGGTAGAGAGGAGATCTACGCAATGCTTAGGGATGGCAGGGAGGGGTAGGACGTCAGATATGAAGCGAGCGCAGCTAGCTTGCCCCCCCCCTCCCCTCCCTCCCCGCCCTCCGTCTCCTTCCCCCTCCCTTCCCCGCTGCCACTTCAGTCAACCTCCCCCTCCGTCCCCACTCCCTCCCTTCCCTCCATGTCCCTCCATCCCGCTCCCTCTCCCCCTCCCCCCCTTTCCGCCCCTCCGCCCCTTTCACCTTCCCAACCCTCCCTTCCCCTCCCTCCTTTCTCCTGCGCCACCCCTGAGGCCCGTTCGTGAATCACTCGCGCGCCTTCGACCTGTCTTCACGTCCCTTCTTTCCGCACCCTCCCTCTGCTCGGCTTCGCCCCCCCCCCCCCCCGCCCTCTACCCTTTATCTACCCTTACCAGTGCCTCCGCTCCTACCCTCAGCGGTGTTGTGGTGGAACACGTATGTCCGCTTCCTTCTCCTCCTCCTCCTCCTCCTCCTCCTGCGTCCCAGCTCCTTTCTGCCTTCCGCCCCTCCTCATGACCCATCCCATCTTGTGAATATTGCACATGTACGGCGTTGTATTCATAACAGCAAGAGCAGCCAGCAAATGAAACTACTATGAGTCTAGCACGAAGCATACTACTACTACTACTATTACTACTACTACTACTACTACTACTACTGCTACTACTACTACTACGAAAACCACTACTACTACTACTACTGCTACTACTACTACTACTACTACTAC